ACACCCATCCAAGGGGAGATCACAAGAGACATAAAAAAAGGGGCCCTGGGGTGCCAGACCCTAAATTGGGCTTAGAAAAGTCTAGAATATGGTAGACGTTTATTTGTACATCTATGTGGCACCTTTACAGTTTTTACATCCTTACTGAACACTCTGGACAAGTCCGGCAAGTTTCCCAACTCTGAAGCAATGTACAAGTGTTCCCACTAAGAAGCAGAAAACATTTAAAGACATTCCTCCTTTTGGGTTTACTAGAGGGCAGGTCAGAGGTCATGTCAATGTGTCGGCATACAAGGAATGTTCAGGGTCATGTGAGGGGAAGAGGAACATTAAAAAAAAAAAACTTCAAAACCTTCCTGTTTTTTTCAGAAGAAAATTGTCTTCTTATCATCCTAATGACACGTAACCCGAGTACAATAAACGCCGTCCCTGCTACCTACATTCTCTGCTATATAAAGTGGACCGAGCATCAGATATCGTTCTCAATGCTAATTGCACCGTGATAAGTAATGTGTCACTTCCATTGCCTCTCATGGAGATCACAGTGCTCCCCCTGACAATGCCTTCATCTGCTTTTCACTTCAGAAGGACGGAGCCATCTTTGTTCAGGCGTCATCCAGGGACCACTTCCTGGACTGAGATGCTGGTTCGGAGATTATACGGTCTTGTAAATTCTGGTGCCTATACAGTTCGCAAATGTCAGACACAAGTCAGCCCTTGCTGCAGCCTCTCATCTTATGACTTGCTGCAAAGATATAATGTTGCAGTCTGATCATTGGGGGGAGGGGAGACTGAAGAAATGCTTACTCCTGCCGTCAGCAGACTGATCACTGGGGGAGGGTAGACTGAGGAAAAGCTTACTCCTGCCTGCAGCAGACTGATCACTGGGGGGAGGGGAGTCTGATGAAATGCTTCCTCCTGCCTGCAGCAGACTGATCACTGGGGGAGAGGAGACTGATGAAATGCTTCCTCCTGCCTGCAGCAGACTGATCACTGGGGGAGAGGAGACTGATTAAATGCTTCCTCCTGCCTGCAGCAGACTGATCACTGGGGGGAGGGGATACTGAGGAAATGCTTACTCCTGCCTGCAGCAGACATCTTTTTTTTCAATATTTTGTGCGAGAAAATGTAAATGGTCGAACTAAAAATGTATGTCGTCCTTGCTGTTACCTGCACCCCCTAAACCCGCAGCAAGACACGCAACTTGGCTTGCATTAGCACAGTCAAAAAATGCTCCAAGCTCGCAACAAAATCTGCTACATCAGCTTCTTTGCATTGAAATAATTGGGCTCCCTCTGCTTACATGTGGCCACAGCGTGCTGCATGTTCATGAGTGCTAGTCCTGACCACCAGACCTCTGGAATATGCCGCCATTCTTATTCTTGTTTCCTTCTCCGCATGCTAAGTGAAAACCATTGTACCTTGAAGGTTACACATCATTCCCATTTTCCTATATTCTGGGACTCCCAGAGGCAGCTGGAATCGGGGAACACAAATCTTGCATTTTCAGTCTCTCGTTTTGGGAATTTTCATACAATGAGGATAGCAACTGCTAAGTAGGACGAGGAAATTGTCGAGACTCGAGTAAGAGTCACCTGCAGGAAAATCTCTTTATTTGACAGGAACGTTCCTTTAAATCTAAAACAAACAAAACTTTCTTGTTCCTTTTTACAGTTTAACAGAAAATAAAGAGTCATAAAACTTTGTCGCCAATCCAAGGTTCACGTCTGGCAATGAGAGAGGCTTGTCACTGGGAAGGTGTCATGAGGCAGACAGATGAGACGAGGAAGGTCAGCGGCAGCTCATCTATCAGCTAGCAGGATTGATTCACGCCATGGAGGAAGTTTTAGAAAATGACCTGTTTTTTAAATGAGTTTTGTTGGTTTTAACTTGTTCATGGCCAGAGGAAATATCAACCTTCATGACCGGCGTGACTCTGGTTAGAAGGGCTCATTTACCCAGGTGTGCACATCCGTAGGGCATGCACACCCGTGCAGGGACTTGCTCCCGAGAGTGATAGCTGCTGCATGTAATTGCGTGCCGCCACCTGAACCTCCCTGTGGGAGGATGCGGCTACACGTGCCTACACGCCGACCCTGACCTGCACATCTTTGCAGGTCCAGGTGTCCACTTTGGCACATGCAGTCTGCGTCCAAATGTGGGAACCCGTGCAGGTTCAGGTCAACGCGTACCTGTGTGCAACCGCATCATCCCATAGGGAGGTACAGGCAGCTGCATGCAATTACACGCAGCACCTTTCCCTCCCGGTAGCGGGTCTCTGCACGTAGGGGCATGCCCTACAGATGTGCACAGACGGGCATGCCGTACAGATGACCACGCCCATGTGAATCAGCCCTAAAGTAAACCCAGCCATGATACAAATACAGGCGATTTCTGATACACTGGCTTTACTACTGACCCAAAATAAGTGTGCAGAAGAAGTCAGGGGACGGTAAGGAGAAGAAATTATCACTTTTGGTTCAGCCAAACTTTCCATAAGTTTTCAGAGCTCCAAAATTTGGAAGTATGTTATATTTGTCCAGAAATTGGGTACTATGTTGTGTTGGGGTGCTCCACAATTAGTTTGAATGCATTTTTTAAACTGAAAATTTTGGGTTTGATGAACAGTTGCACTAATATCGCTGTCAGGATCCAGATCTCAACCCAGGGACTCTGCTGTGTCTGGCGGTGGCTCTACCTGCTGAGCCAGTCTGAAACCGTGGATAGCTCCTTGCCTGATCTCCTGTGTAATCCTCAGGTAAACCTAGTTTCTGCTGAACTCTGAACTCCATTGCTCCTCCCTTGAACTTCCTATTTAAGCCCCGCCTCTGCACTTCCTGTTTGCCAGATTATTGTGCTCCTGACAATATCTTCCTGCTCCTGCTTGCTTCCTGCTCCTTCTGTGATACAATCCGCTCATACTGCTACCCGTGTACCGACCTTTGGCTGCTGATCCATCGACTACTCTCATAGTCTTCTCCTTCATACCTAATACCTTTTGGCTCCTGACCTCGGCTTGTTCGCTGACTACGCTTCTGCCTGCTCCTATACTACTACCGTCTGCTTGTGTACCAAACCCGGCCTGTTATACCACAAATTTGCCTGCTGTTTCAGCTACTGGACTCTGAGCCCGATCCCAGATCGTGACAATCACGTGACTTAAGAAAATTGCAACTGTCACCGTTTTATTTTACGGGGTCTCTACTTATGGGAAATAATATAAGTAACCTTCAGGTCTAAAATGTGTATTTTAACACTTTAAATAAAATATTGAAAAACGTATCTGGCAGCGAAAGGGTTAAACCTCTTAAAATGGGGAGTGCAGATCTAGGAATGCACAGTAAAATGAGGAATAGTCCTATGCCTGGCCATCATACATTTTAATAGTTATAGCCAGCTGATGCCAGACAGCTCCATTTCTGTTAGGAGACGGGGGGCGGAGTCATTTGCAGTCTCTGCGATCTGATCTCCCCTGCTCTTCCGGTCAATTTCACGGTTTGCAGCTGTTATCTTAATACTGCTGCTCTTGTATAGAGCTCGCCAGCCACTGGCTACATGTGGCAGATGGGGCATAGTATTCTGTATTTTATAATGATCTGATCAAAAGGAAGAAAAACATATTTTCACCACCGTACGTTCCCTTTTAAAGGGACCAAGGGGAATAAAGTAACCAAGGGCAAAATTTAATTTTGGATACAGTAGAGAAAGGTTAAAACCCCCATCGACTGCCACAGATGTTTTGAGTAGAATTAGCTCATTCTGCCAATTATGTCCCGACACACATTCTTAATAAGTTGCCCGCCGCGTGCCGTTTTGTACTGAGCGCGGAATAAAAGCGAGAGCCGTCAGATATAATTAAAAACTGCAACAAACGTGACCTCTGGCTGTTAACCTGGATAGCAGATATTGTTGTCGGTACACATCGCACTGAACCGCGGCGAAGCAGTCTGCTGCGGATTAATGTTTAACAATGAAACTACCTACTTCGGCGATGGGGATCCTCGTTATCTGTACAGGGCAGAGGGAATCAATGTGCCGCTGTACTTCTCTGCAGCTGAGAGCTCTCTCTCTCTCTTTTTATGTCAAAACAAAGCGTTGTGTGAAAATCACATGGAGGATTTACTCTGAAACTTAAAGGAGAACTATGAGGCTTTTCACTCACCTCATAGTTCTAGCCGACCTGTGACAATGAGACTGTCACAGGTCGGCTCAGTAGATCGGGAGGTGAGCGAACATATACCAGCGTTCGCTCACCTCTCGATCCTGTCACGGCTCTCTGCCGTGACAGTGGAGGGGCTAGATCCCCCCCCTCCAAGCTCCGATCCGCCTGGCGGACCGGACGGGGGAGGGGGTGGGTACAGCTGGCTCTGCCTCTAGATAGGCAGAGCCAGCTGTCCCTCACGCAGCTGGGCGGATCTCGACATCGATGTCGGGATCCGCTCCGGCTGCGACGTCTCAGTATACCAAAAGCTGTAGCTCGCGGTATACTGAGCTTAGGGTAACGGGAGGACGCTAGTTTGTGTCCTCCCGTTACCCTAAGAAGAACTATGGGGAAAAGCCCTGACCCCATAGTTCTCCTTTAAAGAGCGGCTGAACTCTTCAAAGGCGAAGATTTGATATGCTATAGGGAATATCTAGAAATATTAATTGTGTCTAAGCAGTACATGGAGTCTAGAATTCCTCCTGAACAATATCCGTGTACTTCCTGCTGTGTGAGGCTACCTAGGCACTCCTGTTCTGTGCCTCGTATTTGTATACTGTATAGCTGCAGTCAGAGATCGTCTAAAGCACTGCTGCCTCTGACTGCTAGTCTCAGGAGATTTGGGGTGAGATTTGGTGATGCGACTGCTGTGCTGCTCAATGTTCTCCATGCTGGAGAGCAAGCTGATCCTGAAGACCTGCAGTGCAAGGATCTCCCTGCTTCCAAGCCTGGTAGTCTGAGATTTGGGGTGAGATTTGGTGATGTGGCTGCTGTGCTGCTCAATGTTCTCCTTGCTAGAATGAAAGCTGTACTTGAGGACCTGAAGGACAAGGATCTCCTGGCTTCCAAGTCTGGTAGTCTAAGAAGAGATGAGACTTGGTGATGTCACTATAGTAGTGCTCATTATTCTTGAGGAAGCTGTACCTGAGGACCTGCAGTGCAAGGATCTCCCTGCTTCCAAGCCTGGTAGTCTAAGGAGATCTAGGGTGAGATTTGGTGATGTGACTACTGTGCTGCTCACTAATCTCTATGCTGGAGAGGAAGCTGTACCTGAGAACCTTGCATAACCAGAGGACCTGCAGTAGAAGGATCTCCCTGTTTCCAAGCCTGGTAGTCTAAAGAGGCATGGGGTGAGATTTGGTGATGTGACTGCAGTGCTACCCACTATTCTCCTTGCTTGAGGCTCTGGCATGATGTAGCAAAGCCCTGCCTCTACCAAGATGACTGCCTCCATACAGAAACAGTGCAGAACAAGGCATGGTAAGTCAGTAATGGAGAGAAGATCAGATACAGGAAGACATGACCTGTCAACCTACACATGAAGAGAGAGCAGCGGTGAGCGGTCTTTATTACAGGAGTGGGCGGAGACAAGACCAGGGACCCTGCACAAGGAGAGAGCACAGCAGTGACCGGTCTTTATTATAAGAGAGGGGCAGAGAACCTTGGCAGCCGCATCTGTCATTGCCTTCGCCTCCGGCTCCCTGACACGGTGTTGCCCGCCTGAAGACTGCTGGTGAGACTCCATAGCCCAGACAGCCCAGCTGGGAGTTGCACAGCCCAGCTGAGAGCCCGGAGATCCACCTGAGAGCCCGCACAGGCCATCAGGCGCCAACCCAGAACAACACAGAGTATGTAGCTTCATATTATTTTGTATTGCTGTAGTCCCTTATAGACAGTCTCCTTACTCCCACCCCTGGCTGTCTCTTCTTGCTCTTTCTCCTGGCTGCCTCTCCCCGCTCTCTCCTCAATATTCTCCAAAGAAACAAAATTGCGTTGAGTTGAGTGTTCGGGTTTTACTTGAAGAAAAGGTGGCAACCCTAGCCGCGTCAGACGGATCATTATGAAAGAAAATGCTTTTACATGTTTCATCGGCAAAAAAAGATTATACGGCCATTTGTAAGGAGTTATATGAAGACCGCTGGGTGCAATTCACTCCATCCGCCGGTGTTTTCCCTTTTGGTCCGGAGCTGAATCAAGCCTGTAATCCCGTTCTCATTGTTCGGGACTCCTACTCACGGTCAGTTTAATTCGTACCTTTATGCCGCCGATGGGAACATTTTTTTTTTTCCTGCTGGCAATAAAAATACAAAGTGCAAACGGAATGTTACAGCGAGGGAATTACAATGAGCGCCTGGAGCCCAGCCACCGTCCGCGCATTAAGGTTATTTTCAAAACTTTACAAAGAACATTTTAGCCGGAGAATTAATCTCTTGAGGAATTTCCTAAAAATAGTTAAGAATTTTATTCCAAGAAAGCTTTTTTTTCCTGCCGGCAGCTGAGAACATAATTTTTTTTTTTCTTTATCATTTATTTGTTATGGGCCCTTCTAAAGAAGCCTAATCTCTTGTGTATTCGACGTAGCAAGCGGTTCGAGTCTTTTGTAACTTTATCAAACCCGTAATCTCTTAAATAAGCAATGTAATAAGGAAGGTAATTGCTTTATGCCCTAATCAAGTCGGTAATCTCTTGAATAAGCGAGATAGTTAGAATGTTAATTGTTTCTTATGTGTGTGTGTTGATGTTTGTGCTGTTGTTAGGGCAGGTTGCCTAAAATTTGTTTCCAGGATGTAGAAAACGCATGCAACTAATAATTCATAAAGTTTGATATCTGGGAAGGTTATTCCCCACTATAGGGAGCTATTAACCCCTTCATGACTGAGCTTGTTTTTGGTTTCTGTTCGTAAATGACTGACACACTTTTGACATTTTTGCTGTGTGATTCTTCCACGTCAGTAATATACTTTCTTACAAAGTGCACCCACACATATTATATATTGTTTTTTAGAGGACAGATAGGGCTATATATTTATATCACATATGTGTGTCTAACGCCTCACTTAGCACAAATACAAATTAAAAAAAGAGGAAAAAACGTGAAAAAAAACTTTTTTTCCCAGTTTTGATTTGTAGTATTTTTTTTAACAAAACCAGCACAGCTAAAAAAAAATGCAATACATACATTCATTTATTTGTCCCTTATTTTTAATTTTTTTACACTTTTCACTATTTTTTTTAATTTATTTACACTTTTCACTTTTTTTATACTGACAAATTTTATTTATTTAATTATATCAGGCAGTCATTGTGAATTAATCTCACTATTACTGCTTGATAAATTAATACATTTTTTTTATTATCAGGCTGCTTCAAACTTCAGAACAGCCGATAATAAGTTAGTGACACTGATCCTGCAGCAGTTCAGGATTCAGCTGTCAGTGAATGTTTCAGAAAACTTAAACATTCTACTTTCAAGAATAGATACATTATGTGTCTAATACATAACATTTTGTATCTATTCTTGAAAGTCAAAAGATAAAAAAAAAAAAAGCCAGTATAGCATGAGAGAGATATCTCTCGATCTATACGAGCTGTCAGAATGCCGGCAAAAGCCGACATGTGTCTCTGCTTTGCTTTGACTCTCAGACACCCGATATTAAGGTATCGGGTGTCTGAAAAAGGTTAACCCTTTCAGTAATGGATCTCTAGATAGTTAGACATCTATTACTGAAAGGTAACCGCTGATTCTCAGCGGTTAGCAGCCTTCTAGTGCAGCAAATAACTCGTCACGTACAGTGTACGTGACGAGTCATTTGGTCCCTTTGTGGCTGGACGTACAGTGTACGTTTCCCGTCACGAAGGGGTTAAAATCGTATAGAAACATAAAAGGCCAATGTGGGACATCTGAGGGACCTTGTATGTATAACATGAGATAATGTATCATTATTACTTACACTCATTGGCCACTTTTATTAGGTACACTTTGCTAGTACCAGGTTGGACCCCCCTTTTGCCTTCAGAACCTCCTTTGTTCTTTATGGCATAGATTCAACAAGGTGCTGGAAACATTCCTTAGAGAGTTTGGTCCATGTTAACATGATAGCATGACGCAGTTTCTTCAACATCCATGATGGGACTCTCCCGTTCCACCACATCCCGAGGGTGCTCTATTGGATTGAGATCTGGTGACTATGAAGGCCATTTGAGTTCAGTGAACCCATTATTATGCTCAAGAAACCAGTTTGAGATGATTTTAGCTTTTGTGACACGGCGCATTAACCGGCTAGAAGTAGTCATCGGAAGATGAGTGCACTGTGGTCATAAAGGGATGGACATGGTCAGTAACAATACTCGGGTAGATATTACCTACAATGCTCAATTGCTACTAAAAGGCCCAGGAAGTGTGCCAGGAAAATATCTCCCACACCATTACACCCCCACCACCAGCCTGAACCGTTCATACAATGTGGAATGGATCCATGCTTTCATGTTGTTTACTCCAAATTTTGACCCATCCGAATGTTGCACCAGAACTAGAGACTCATCAGACCAGGCAACATTTTTCCAATCTTCTATATAATTTTGGTGAGCTCTTGTGAATTGTAGGCTCAATTTCTCAATCGTAGCTGACAGGAGTGGCACCCGGTGTGGTCTTCTGCTGCTGTAGCCCATCTGATTCAAGGTTGGACGTGTTGTGTGTTCAGAGATGTTCTTCTGCACGCCTCGGATGTAATGAGAGGCTGTTGGAGTTACTGTTGCCTTTCTATCAGCTTGAACCAGTCTGCCCATTCTCCTCTGACCTCTGACATCAACAAAGCATTTTCCTCGACACAACTGCCGCTCACTGGATATTTTCTCTTTTTCAGGCCATTCTCTGTAAACCAGAGAGATGGTTGTGTATGAAAATCCCAGTAGATAAGCAGATTCTGAAATACTCAGACCAGCCCATCTGGCACCAACAACCACACCACGTTCAGTCACCTAAATCACTTTTCCTCTCCATTCTGATGCTCGGTTTGGACTTCAGCAGATGATCTTGACCATGTCTACATGCCTACATGCATTGAGTTGCCACTGTGTGATTGGCTGACTAGATATTCATGTTAATGAGCAGTTGAACAGGTGAAACGAATAAAGTGGCCGGTGAGTGTCAATCTTTCGAAAGAATCATAATAAAAGCTGTATGTGTTAAAAAGATTCACTATCCCATGTTAAAGTGTATTTCCAGTCAAATTTGAGAAAACCCCTCTCTATATATGTTATGTGTTCCCCCTCACACAGCATAATAAAAACAAATTCTTTAAAAAATGTTTCTTATCTTTTAGATTTATCTGTGTAGCCGGAACCTTTGCAAGCTTCTCTTTCAATTTTTAAGTGGCAAGAAACTGTCTGTCCCCATAAAAGACAAAAGACGGACTGAGCTTCCCCTCATTAACATACAATTCTTCTAGATCTTTAACCCTTTGGTGGGACAGACATTGTCCAATCTACTGATAATGAGATCAGCCAGCACAGTACAGACCGGGATCATGATGTTAACCTGACCAGCCTCCCCCTTGCATTGTAGAGGAAAAGTCCCATATAGGCTTATTCTCTATGTGTCATAACAGATGCATTTATTTTGGGTGTATCAGTACTGCTGGAGACCCCAAAAGCATGTCCTGTAAATGTAACTGTGAAAATTAAAAAAGTATCACTGGCAGCCATTTGGAGCAGTATGTTATATTTTTGGATATGCAATGCTTGCAGGTTGAGCTTTTTGCTGCTAGGGCCATATAGTGATCCACATCTTTGTGTGTTTGTATTGAGTTTTGTTGAGCACATGTTTTATTCCTATGTGGCTGGTTTACATCTATGTGAGGGAAACCATAAATGCCCATTTACACCTATGAGTATTCGATACCTTTCACACTGCAATGTTCAAGCATAGGTGTCAATGGCCCTTAAAACATTATCACCTGCTCATCCAGGGAAAAGTGATAGTGTCTCCTGATAGTTCACCCCCTCCAGCAAGGTGGACTCACTCATCAATGCACCCTCGCTGGTTCGCCACTTCTTTGGAGTCCTTTGCTCCATTGATCTAGCAGAGCAGGGCTTCTGGA